CCTGTAACTTTTTTATTCCCATCCCCTTTGGGGTTTGTAATATTTTATTTTTATTTTCTCAGAATTCTCTTATCATCAAATTTTATAATTATTCCAAGACACACTTAGGAACGGTTGTTTAGCAATTGAAAAAAAGGAAACACCAGGATATGTTGAACGACAAATGGAATATGGAAAATCGACACTTCCAAGAACATCGAACGACTAATTCATCACAAGGAAATGAAATTTGCAAATATTGTATAAACACAGAAAGATTATCAATTCCGCCAACATTGCGTAATGTAGTGTGATCAATGATGTAATTTCTTAAATATCTTAAACATCCTTCCTTTTCATCGTTTAAAATATTCTTCGACATTCATAATTAAATAAATCTGTCGATACCGTAGTTTCTTCCTCGTAAACTTGTACGACATAAGAACAAGTGAATTTTTGTATTTCTAAGTGTCACAAAGCAATTAAACGTTCCGTTTTTATGATCGTAATGTGAAAACGTAAAAACGTAAATTATCCTTTTTTCCATTCACACGTTAACAGAACAGTGTTTGCTACTTTTTCTCTTAGACTGTTTATAATTTTCTACTATGACCTTCCATTCTACTGCAATTAGGTAACAATCATATCACACTGATACTATTACATGAATGAATTACTTTTTACCAAAAGATATGAAGGATATAAAAATTCGAAACGGAAATTTCTGTCACAAAACACTGTCCCTGTTCACGAAAAAAAGAGACTTTATTTATGGAACACTCATTTCATTTACAAAAATGTTCTTAAGGATTTTCTTCTTTTTCCATGTTATTCTACGCTTCAACCTCCACTGTTCTTTTGTTCATTTCTTCTGCCAAATTTAAAAAACTGGAAATCCATAAATTACACATTGCTATAGAAATACATATCGAAATACCGTACAATGCTGAAAAGTTTCCTCGTTATCCGCAAAATAAATGAATTCATTAACATTGATCAAAACAGATGCATTGTCACTCGTTGTGTCTTTAAATTAATCGTGCAATTAGACAACACATTGACTTCCTAGTTTCGATAATCTCGATATCTTTTTTCTTCTTAAATAGAGTCACAAAAATTTCCTCCGCAGTCTGGTAATTATGATTTATTACTACTTTGCTTATAATAATAGCAAATACGCACAATTTGACTTTGCATCCATAATACAGAATCACGGTCTAGTTACTCGATGGTTGCATTTCATTATTTCTTCTCGTCAAGTACTGTAATCTTAATTTTATATTAATCTCTAAGTGCAGTGGAGAAATTGAGCGGAAATTCCACTTTTTGAATATATCTTGTTTGTGGAATTTGATTCATTTTCATTTTCATATAAATTATATAATAAAATTTCATATAAATAATTGTAAGTAACGAGTGATAACTTTAAAATATGACATTCGAATTAATTATATTTTTTGTTCAATGTTAAATGTTAAAGGATGAGTTTTGATGGCCGTCTGTCATTAGCATACGTTGAATGTCGCTCAAATTTAACCTTTAATATTGGAATTGTTACTATTTTGAAAATGACAAAGGATGATTCGTGATGGTCTGTTTTCAACAGTACACTTTGAATATTACTTAAATTTATCCTTTTCGAAACAATGGTAATTCTTTAGTAATGTTCAGATTACTTTTGTTAGAAATGAAAACGATCATAATAGCAGAGAAGCACTTAAACTATATTATACTTTGTCTTTCATAACGTGGACTAATAATTACACTAATACTAATTGTACATACCTGTATGTACACCTGTACTAAAATACTTCAGCAACAATTTGTTTTTCTTAAACGTATCATCACTTTATTATATCATAAAATTGCACCTAATAACTAATCTGTCACGTTATCCAAACAACCTATTTACACTTTTATTACTTTATGTAATAGTTCTAATAAAAAACAGGTTAATAGCAGCATCAATGCAACAACTACTGTATCACTGATACTTTATCCTATTAATCCATCATATTTTACTTTAATTCTTTCCTTAAATAATTAAATGTGTCACGGATTATTTGAGAAATTATATTAAAAAAATTTTAAATTACTTGAGAAATTAGTTGCGTTAAAATTCACTTGCGGATTTTAAAAGCCTATCATAAGCAGCTAGTACATCGTATTCTACTTTAATTCTTTCTCGAACAATTAAGTGTGTCCGTGAATATTTGAAAAATTATATTAAAATTCATTTACAGACTTCAACAGCCCAACCAAATTTTACTTTAACTCATTCCCCAAATAATTAAAGAATGTCTAGCAGAAAGGTGAAACACTAATTACTTAAAAAGTAAGTTGCATGAAAATCCTTTTACGTACTTCAGCAGTTTACTTTACATAACCAATACATAATATTCTACTTTAATTCTTTCCTCGAGTAAACATCATAAATAGAGCCTCATTGAAAGGTAAAAGACACTTTACTTGTAAGATTAATTGCACTAAAATCCATTTAGCAGGCTTCGGTAGGTTACTTTAATCATCCAATACATAATACTCTACTTTAATTTTTTGCTCAAATAATAATTATAAGCAGGGTCTCACAAAAAGGTAAAACACTCTTTACTTGAAAAATTAGTGGCATTAAAATTCACTTACGAACTTCCGCAGCCGCGTATCCAACGACTGCCGCGAAGATCAAGAGCTGTTTGAAGAACATCTTTCCCTTCTACTGATTCTGCTGAAACGATCTGCGACAACGAGAGGAATAGTCACTGGTCCTCGTGATTGTGCACGGATCAATACTGATCCTCGCTCACCTGGCAAGCTCATATATATGTGTTCGAGGATAACAGTGCGTTGCATGGAGAACAGCATCTGAATCATCTAAGTCCAGGGTCATGGTCGTTGGAGACACACGCAGAGTATTCGCGTCGTTTTTTCGTCCATCATTCGAGTATCCCCCATTCGCTTGTTTCACATGAGGAAAGTCCATTGAAAATGAAAAACACCGTTTTGTCTCGCCTATTTTCTTTATTTTACGGTTAGATCGATTCCTCGTAAGAATTGAAACGAGAATTCGAAAGGAATATTCTTTGCAATGTTTACATTTTTGAAACTTGGACTTTTTACAAATGCCTGTTTATGGACGAATGTCTAGATCGTTTTTAGATCATTTTTCTAGTAACTTCTTTTCTAATTAAATTCGAACTCGTCATTTGCCCTCTTCTCCTGTCAATTTTCAAGGTTTCTACAAAGGAAGGAATATTTTTTTGCAACGTTCACACTTTTAAAACTTGTACTTCTTAGAACGCTGCTGTTTATTGGGTCAGTATTTTAAAACAATTTTAATCAGTAATTC